GAAACAGGATAAGTGGAATAAAGATCAAAATAAAAGCTGAGGCAGGAGGGGCCTGGTGGGGGTGCAGAGGATGGGCTGAGACCCGTCCCTGTGCCCACCATAGCCTCACAGCCCACAGTTCCTTTTAAGGTGCAAGAATTCATGCACTGGGCCCCTAGTTTTAGTATATTACTAAATATATTAATGTTTTATGTATTGTCATTTTTGAAACATAATTTCAAGGGCCATACATATAAAGTTAATTTTGATCTCTTATTCTACTTCCTAAATTCAATAGCAGGAATCTGAAAAAATAGGGTTGATTTTTAATCAAATTAATCAAAATAATAATTATCAAATATTTCAAAAAAGAAACACTACTTAACCTTGTCTACACTGCTCTCCTCCAGTATGGGAATAATTAATTGAATTCTTCTATGTGCTATGCTTTATGCTGGGTGCTGGAGAAAAAGGCATAAACAGACACATATGGTTGCTGGTCTCATGCTGGTCTACTCTAACAGATGGAGAGAAATGGATAGATTTAAACTATAATTGGGACATAAAACTGATGGACAGAATATTGCTCAATAATATTAATGGCGACACCTTTGTCATATTCTTGATTTTAATTAGAATAACTTAATATAACGTTATTAGTGATATTGGTATGACATTCCTTAGAAAGTATAAGACATTTGTGACTCTCTAAATCAGCTTGGTCTGTACTTTCCTTTTTCTTGATCAAGAATATTTCCCTATTAAGGGCCTCATGACTGCTTTGGACACTGGTGTATTGAAGTTTTCTTCAATAATCCATATCCCTTCCAGCTTCTGTTCTATTGTGTTTGCCCACATCACAGCCAGCTTTAACATATATAAAAGAGATTTTAAAATATCAAATTGTTGTTCCACTTATGTATGCATTCATTGGTTGATTCTTGTATGTGCCCTGACTGGAACCTGGACCCACAATCTTGGTGTATTGAGATCAATTCTCTAACCAACTGAATTATCCAGCCTAGGCCACAGCCAACTTTTGAGAGAGTGTTCTAAATTCTCTTATCTGAAATTTACTCTTAAACAAATTCCAAATTGGCATTTACCCTCATTATTACACTGAAATTACCTTTGCCAAAGTCATCAATGACCTATAGTGACAATTGATATTATTACTTTATTTGACTCCTATGTAATGTTTTGAACATTTAAACACTCACATTCTTAAATATTTTCTTCTAGTTGGCAACACATTCTACTTGTTTTGCCTGTACTTCTCCAGGAATTACACCAAAATAAGTTTTAGATTGAAGGAAGGATTAATATATATAAAAACAAAACTAGGAGAAATGAGAGTGAATATTAAATTGACTGTTTTCTTAAAGCATAAAAATTGAAAACACAGAGATAGATGAGGAGATTTTTTTAAAAAGACCCCAAGTGAAATAAGAAATTTAGAATTTCTATATATCAATATATAGTAAAAAATAAAAGCAAACAAATCTTAAGATGAGAATAATATTTATAATTCAAATGACATAAGATTATTATCTGAGTTGTGTATGTGTATAAATGTTTAACTAAATATAATTAGGGAAATGCAAGATATAAATAAAAAGTTAAATAGAATAATATTTATTTATTTAAAAACATGTAAACATTTTAAAAATCCAATACTTAAAATAAGTTAGGCTAGAATAAAGATGCAACAGAAAGTGTAAACTGGTTTACAAAAACAAACAAACAATAACAATAACAACACACAAGACCTTTCAGGAAAGTTAATTTGAATATATGTATCAAGTATTTTTTAAAATTTTCCATAATTATTAACCCAATGATTCTAATTCCTGAAATCTAGTTTAAAGGAAGAACAAGAAATATGTTCAAAGATGCTTGCCAAAGTATGCCAGTTCTGCATTATATGTATTAGCTAAAAGAAAAAGAAATTGAAAATACAACAACTAGGAAAGACTTGAATTTCCAACAATGGAATGGTTAAATAAAATATAACATACCAAAATAGAGAAATATTATGTATTTATTAAAATAATACTTGAAAATTTAACACTTAAGAAATATCAGAGCCCTTGATGATTATTCTCCTTTGTTTCATGTCTCTCCTTTTTATAATACTTTATTTTTTCTATAACCACTATTAAAGATTCAGCAAAAGCATATTTCACATAATCTACAATTATTCACTAGCCCTATAAAGAATTTTTTTTAAAGGCACACAATCAGTAATGACTAACATTAAGCCTCTTGTTTGGCTATGGAATCACCATTACACTTCCCAATTTCCTGCTACCATGGCTAATTAAAAGTTGGCATGGTTACTCCCATACCAATTGGCATTGGTCACAGATAAATTTCTGTGATTTTTTGAAATCATAGTTATTATTCTACTTCATCTGTTCTATTCAGTTTTTAAGTCAGCTGTCAAATTAAACAAGTTAGCCCTTCCTAAAAGTTGTAGAAATTTTATATATTACCAAGGTAAATAAACAATTACATAACATGCTTTTGTTCAGTAGAATTCTACAAGGTGAACCAAGAGAGAATTCACAAGAAATAATGTGATTTGTCGACAGTGATGATGGAAAAGTGCTATAATTATAACAGAAGTTAACATTCTTGCATTAGTTTTGAATATGAAGCATAACTGCCAAGAAAGTTTTAATAGTAAAATCCTAAAAATACATCTCAACTCTGACCACCTGCTTTTTCCAGTTATACTCTGTTTTACATTAGCTAAAATCAATAAGCTCAGGAGATTATGTAAAAGTACTAAATCATTTTTGGTTTAATTATTTGATATATTTCCCTATTCCCATTCCAATTAAGAATTTCATTTTTCTATAATATTTTCCTATTACATACAAAGCATCCCTACCATTTTAAAGAGAATGTAGCTTTGGCACAGTCTCCAAGTTCCACTATGTAAACATAATTTTAAGAATTATACTGCAAGTCTTTAAAAAAGAAAAAAAAAGAAAAGAAAAGCCAAAACCGGTTTGGCTCAATGGATAGAGCATCGGCTTGGGGACTGAAAGGTCCCAGGTTCGATTCTGGTCAAGGGCATGTACCTTGGTTGCGGGCATATCCCCAGTAGGGGGTGTGCAAGAGGCAGCTGATCGATGACTCTCTCTCATCGATGTTTCTAACTCTCTATCTCTCTCCCTTCCTCTCTGTACAAAATCAATAAAATATATTTTTTTTAAAAAAGAATTATACTGCAAGTCATGGGAGAAGAATAAGAAAAAATATTCTAATAGCTAAATCTACTCAACCTTTTCATTCTGGAGTTTGTTATACTAAAATAAAACATTTATCTCATTTGTGTTCAATTTTTTACAAAAGTAGCCTATTTTTCACCCTTCATGTATCCAAAACCCTTGCAATCTTGCTGTACAAATCATCAAGAAGTGGCATCTATTTTCCTTTGTATTTGATGCTTTATTTCTTCAGGATATCTCAATTATTCTCCATAATCATTTATGGTGAAACTGACTATTTAAAGGCAATAGTTTATTGGTATGAAAGATCAGAAGGGAAATCTTTGCAGTCAAATGTATTGAATGATTTTCTATACCTCAGAGCCTATGAGAATCAATTTATTACCGAGCAATACCGACTATGTATAAAAATATCAAAATAACTACTAAGATTTTAGTGAGATTAAGATTTTAAATTATAGAGAATATAGCTGTTTTCCTTGTCTATTCTTACTTATTCTTACAGGTAAAATCCCATTAATTAAAACAGGAATATGTATAAATAAAGCATTTATTTGAAGTCATGGTCTTGCAATGACTGTCATTCTAAAGCAAAAATATTTAAGGGATTCTTTAGAAGAGGAATCCATTTTTTAAAAAAGTCATCACTCAATTATTCTCCGTTATATGATTTATATGGCTATCCTATTATCTCTCTCATGGTTCTGTGAGGAAAAGTAATTTTCCAGTAGCTTACAACATGCATTTTTTATCTTATAGTTATAATAGATGCTCATTCTTATGCTATAAATACTTATTAAAAAAACAAATTATTGATCACCACCAATAAGACTAAATAAAGGTAATTTAATATTTGAGATTATGCTAATTTGAGGTTATAACACAAAAATATAATCTATCTATAATAATAAAAGCCTAAGTGACCATTGCAACTAAACAGGCTTTGTGGGGCGACTAGGCCAGCAGGGGGGTTAGTGAGGGCTGACCAATGACTGAGCAGCAGGCTGGCAGGGGGGTGACCAGGCCAGCAGCTAGGGACAATCAGAAAGGCAGGCAGGTGAGCAGTTAGGCACCAGTGGTCTCAGATTGTAAGAAGGATATCCAACTGCCGATTTAGGCCCCACCCTAAACCTGACATCCTCTGAGGGGTCCTGGATTAGAGAAGGGTGCAGACTGGGCTGAGGGGAGTCCCCCCCCCCCCATACACGAATTTCATGCACTGGGGTTCTAGTGTATGTGTGTATGTGTGTATGTATGTATGTATGTATGTATGTATGTATATAAAAGCCTAAGTGACCTTTACAACTGGTTGACTGACCAGTTGCTATGACATGCACTGACCACCAGGGGTGCAGATGCTCAATGTGGTTAATGCTTTCCCACAGCCAGCCTCCCATGGCCAGCCATCCTCCTGCGGTCCTTCCCTGCCACTGGTCAACCCCTATTGGCCCTGATTGCCAGCCAGGCCGAGAGACCCCACCTGAGCACGAATTCATGTACCAGGCCTCTAGTGCTTAATAAATGTCTAAAGCATTTATATATTTATGGAATGTATTCAACAAATAATGTCTAGATATAAGGTTCATCTAAACTTGTTTAGAAATATTTCTGACAAGCATCAATATATAAAGTCTACCTTACTTGAAACAAATATTTTAAATCATTTCTATAAAATTATTGAATTGCTTATGAAAGCACAAAGCAAGTTAGGTATTCCACTTGAAAGTATTTTCATGTACACAATTTATCTTTATAAATGTGTATGTCAAGGGAGATATTTACCTTTTCACCAATTTCTCCTTTGCTGCCTTCAACACCTTGTTCTCCCTATAAAAGAAAAACACAATGTGAATAATAATAAGAAAACTAGTTTTAACATATATAATTATTATACTAATTATTACAGCATTTCTAACATTTAAAAAGCAATAATTATAAAGATTATTTCTAATATATAAGCTCTAAACCAATACTGAGTTACATACAATTTAAATATTCCTAATTAATGAAGGAATACTTTTCTAGTGTACAAGGTACAGCTTCACTACTTTGAATGAAATTTAATCTCCATAAAACTTAATTTATCCATATATAGTACCTTTCTCATAGTTTTGTGAATTGAATGCATCAACATATGCCCTAAAACAGACTAAGTTAGTCCTTATTGTTACCATCTATCGATATTTCACTAGATCTAATGGAAACATCCTTCTCAAGCTGACTTCTATGACTAATGTTCCAGTGAGTGTTGTATGATAAACAAGTTCAGGTCTGAACCCCAGAGTTCTGGCTCCAACTCTGATACCAGCATCATGGTCTTCATTACCCAGATCTCCTGCCTCTCCGTCACAGAAGGGGGACTGGCTCTCAATCACGACATTTATTCTAAAAGGCATAAATCCCATTCTTCAACTAAACCCTCTTTGACCTGACAAATGTACTTTCCCACTTATTTCTGTACCAATATTTACATTATTGATGTTTCACTCATACATTCAACAAATGTTTTATTGAACTCCAAATATATGTCAGACAGGCATGACAACATAGACAGCAAGTAAGTCATATGAATCCCTCCAAAACAGAGAAAAAAAAGATTGCTTAAATATTGGATTAATTTCTTTCCTCAGCTTCTATCTGGCCAAAAGAAGCCCTTAGCAAACATTTCCTGAGCATACCAAGGCAAAAGATAAAAGGATTCTTAGCTCTGGCTTTTTTTCCTGCAATGCTACAATAGAGTAACACTTAATATAATTTAAATCCATGTTTAAAAAGGAATGCCAGCTTTTTATTATATATATAGATTCACTTTGTGAAAAATATAGATCTAATATATATATAATCCTATATAATAAAGAGCTAATATGCTAATTAGACCAGACAACAGAATGACCTTTGGGAATGACCAGTGGGTGGGGCTTCAGGGCCACAGGGCTGGGGGTGGGGGGACACAAGGCAGCCAGGGCTGTGAGGGTTGAGGCAGCCAGGGCTGAGAGCTGAGCCCCTTGCACAAATTTCATACATCAGTCCTCTAGTAAAATATAAGTACATGTGCATAGGTAGACACATAAGATTAAACTATTTCTGCTTCATCTACCCTCAAAAAAAGGTATTCAGGGAAGAAAATAGTATTTGGTTATATCTGCCACTGAATTCATGGTGTACCTTTTTTTCCACCATTTTTCTTAAAAGATAGACTTTGACTTGATCTGTTAATTCAAGTTGACATTGAAGCTGCTAAACACCCGCACCCCCCTCCCCCCACATCAGCCCAATGACGGCATGATGCAGCCACCACAAACAGCTGCTGGAAAGTCCGAAACTATTTCCCAGCAGATAAATCTGCACATCCCTTGGCTTGTAACTTGACTTGCAGAGGCAGCACATGCTGTAGCAATGGGTTTTGTCTAGGACTGCTGTGAAGAAATTCAGAAGCTTGCTATTTCGTCGCTGCCAGCTCAATCTGATCATCTTTATCAAGCCAACTAAAGGAAGGGTTTTTCAAACACTGTACCTATAAATGTTTTTGAATGGTAATTTTTAGCCCCAGAGAAAAACCTAGATGTAATAGTAACTTCTGTTGCTAAAACCTGTAAAACTCCCCCAGAGCATAGAAATGCCATGCTTGGCTTTGGTGGGCATCTACTATTGCATCTCTCCCTGTGGTGGGGTCATCTGGGTGGTGTGACAGCTGGCCCCTCCTGAAGGGGCTCCCAGTCCCTCCAGGAAACTGGAATAGACCAGCCTTTGTGCTTCCAGCCATGCTGATGACACACAAGCTTACTCCTTCCCAGGAGAAAGAAGCCCTTGGACAGGGAAGGGTAAACATGAAGTTCACCTTGGTTAAGAGGAAGACGCTGGGCACAGAAAGAAGGCTCACCAATGCACACATCCTTACATACTGTGAACTTATCATTCTGAATGAAAGATGTTTTTGAAGGGATTAGGTGCAGCATCTTTGCAGTATTTAATAATTTGCCATTGTAGTGATTACGTTTAGCTCAATAGGGGGTATACAAAAAGGAAGATAAATAAAGATATAACCAAACACAGTTGAAGGCGATGAACACTGCCCCATTCTTCATTTTAGATCCTGTCAGATAGCAGGGAAAACTGCTGTGTATCCTCCTAGGGCCCCTGGAGAGCACCACGCTGCAGTCTCTGGAGAAGCCCGATGCTAAAACTCTCTGATTAAGTCTCTCCTAGTGCTCTGGTGCCTGGAGAAGGGACAGCTTCATGGGTTCTCTTTGGAGAGATGGGTTAGTGGGTTGTCTTCAGAAAAATTAGTTAGTGGTTTTCTGAAAGTCTCTCAGGGAATTCAGCTTCATCAACTACATTTTCTGAATCTTCACTATATTATATACAAATTCAATGTTCAAGCTGTTAACATTCTTAACTTATATACAATACTCAAAAACTCTTTACCTTGCCGGCGAGCAGGGCTCAGTGGTTGAGCACTGACTTATGAACCAGGAGGTCAAGGTTCGATTCCTGGACAGGGCACATGCCAGGGTTGTGGGATCAATTCCCAGTGGGGGGCATGCAGAAGGCAGCCAATCCATGAATCTCTTTCATTATTGATGTCTCTCTCTCTCTCTCTCTCTCTCTCTCTCTCTCTCTCTCTCTCTCTCTCTCTCTCTCTCCCTCCCCCCCCCCCCCCCCCCCCCCCCCCTCTCTTTTTCATCCTCTCTCTCTCTAAAAATCAATGAACACATATTAAAAAACACAGACAAAAATTCTTTACCTTTTGACCAGTTAAGCCTGGAGCTCCACGGAAACCATTTTCACCCTAAAGGAAATACACAGAATAAATGCTATTAACTATAAAAAACAAAAACAAAAACAGAGTATAGAACTTTTTGCAGCTTTTAATAGCTAGCTCTAATGCTGCAAGGAAAGGTAGCCTAATTCTGAATGTCAGTCACATGCGGGGGCTTTCCTTCTATCCCTTACCTCACAAATCCAGGACCAGTGCTTCCTTTTTAAAAACAGGAAAATGGGGGCTCTGAGAGGTTCACTTACAACTGATGGCATTAGCCGAGATTTGAACCACGTTTTCTGTAGCCCATGTTTTCCCACAGCTATTCAGTATCCCTTATTTCATTTTCTCTCTTTCAAACTTCTAGGCATAATATTAAAGTCTGACATAGACTGCCTAAGGGCCAGACACGGTTCTCACAACAAACCAATTATTGATATATTAGATAGATACTATTATTATGTCCACATATTATAGATGATTACACAATTAATAGGAGCTAGAACTGAGATTTGAACCCATATACTTCAGCTTTGTGTACCTAATCACCACCCTATACTCTCTCATGACAAAGATTTAATTCTGGCTTGTAAATGACCTCTTGCCTATCTATCTGTCTATCTATATATTTCCTCTCTCTCTCTCTCTCTCTCTCTCTCTCTCTCTCTCTCTCTCTCTCTCTCTCTCTCTCTCATCTATCTATCTGCATATATATATATGCAGTATATATATTTACTTTCTTGCTTATCTCTTGATTGCCTTTGGATCTTTTTTTAATTCATATCCAATCTCATTTTACTTAAAACAATTACTTGGGAGAACTTTTTGTTCCTCCCATTCATCTTGCCCCTGTCTTGGGTAAAAAGGTTTCCAGCAGATGCCTATCAGTTTCCATTACTGGAATTCATGGATCATCTCTCTGAGTCTGGCTTGTAAACAATACACCAGCTAGAAGGAGGTACTCCTGGGAGGATCCACATGTTCTTGATAGAAGCTTAGGAATTTAGTTGCTAATAGGAATTGACTTTGGCTCCTGAGATTCAGGTTTAGACAGCTCAAAATAAATGAACAATTTCACTGACTTGTCATATTTCTAGCAAACATGTATAATGAATTTACAAGGAAACAGGTTTTTTTTTAAGTATTTAGATATAATTTCTTAGAATTCCTGAAATAAAATTTGAACATATGAAGAAAAATATTGCATCTTAAAACTTTAAAATAGCAATAACATTTTTTCCTAAATCTAAATAGGTCTTTACTCTCATTAATTAATTCATTTTGGAAAGTTTCAATCATTTGCACCAGAAGTGTACCGCTATACATAGATACACATATTACTTTAAAGACTAAGGCTTTTTTTTTTTTTTTTAATATCAGGTTGAATTATCTTAGTGTTCTACCGTATATACTAAACACTAAAGGCAACACTTTGTTGCTAATGTAATTATCTGTTGGAGTAACAATCCTATATTTTAAAAATATAACATGCAAATGGTCGTTACACCGTGAAGCATAATGACCGACCACATAACAACCAGATCATGGATCAGCAGGAGGGAGGGCAGAGAGCTACAGAAGAGGGCAGGGAAGCAAGCTACCGGAGGGGGGATTGCAGAGGGAGCTACAGGGCAGCAGCAGGAGAGCTACTGGAGGGCAGCAGTGCGCTACTGGAGCATGGATTCGTGCGCAGGGCTACTAGTCTATAATAATAAAAGCTAATTGGGGGGTGGGAGAGGAGAAACCATTGTAATAATCTGAACAATAAAGATTTATTTAAAAAATTAAATAAAATAAAAAGTAAATATTTACACTACATGCAACCTAAAAAAATAAAATAAAAGCCAATTAGGCCGGACGACCTTCTGGACCCATCTGGGGCTGTGAGGGAAGGCAGGGTTGTGGGTGCCTGCTGATGGCCGGAAGGAAGGAAGAACGGTCCCGGATAGTCAGAGGGAAGCAGGTGCCAGCAGGCGGGGGAAGGAAGACCTACTCTTTCACGAATTTCATGCATTGGGCCTCTAGTAAAATACAATGTGCTTAATCTGTGCAATAAATATATTTGTATTATTAAAATTTTTGTTGGACTTCTAGACCTCAGGGATCACACAATATATTAGGAACTTCCAATTTCACTTGGTCAAGAAATGGTAAGAGCACATTAAGTATATGATGCCAGGGAACAGTCTGTAGAAATTAAGCATCTGTTGCTCATCAGAGAAATATGTCCACTTGTCCATAAAGAGCAGAATTATTTTCATCTGTTGGTCCAATATAATGTTTTATATCATATTACAAGTTACACAAGATAATAAGATATGGCATGTAACCCAGTAACAGACACTGATACAGTATACACTGCCAAAAATACTTTCTGGAGAGAGAAAAAAAGTAGTGACAGTATCTCCTCTTTTTCTTTGCTCACAGCAAACTCCTATGTACCATATGCTCTGAGTACTCACACCTAACGTCCCACTTCTGACATATGTCAGGTTAGGGTTACACCCAGACCTGATAACTGGGTACCAAAAATCTCTAAAACTGTGATGTATAGCATGTTTTTTAATAGACACCAGCTACCAGCTAGGGTTGTTTTTAACCAGCTATAGTTGGCCCTAGCTGGTTTTGCTTAGAGCATTGGCCTGCAGACTGAAAGGTTCTGAGTTAAATTTTAGTCAAGGGCACATGCTCAGGTTTCTGGCTCAATTCCCAGCAGTAGGCAGCTGATCAATAATTCTACCTTATGTTTCTATCTCTCAATTCCCAGCAGTAGGCAGCTGATCAATAATTCTCCCTCATGTTTCTATCTCTCTTGCCCTCTCTCTTTCTCTCTGAAATCCATAAAAATACTTTTTTTTTGTTTGAATTAAAATGTGTTTTCCTATGGCCAGTGTTATTTGATTTTAGTTCTTTCTTGACTAGACATTTGTCTTATAAACATAATTCTAAACTCCAAGATAACCCAATGAACACTTGGGGACATTTACTCTCATAAGAAATAAGTCAGTTTCACATTTCACAACATGTGGAAGGTTTGAGATAGTTTAGATAGATTTTTGAAGTTTAAAGTTTGCAACGTGGGTATTCAGAAACTTTGGTCTTCTTTTCCTCCTTACTGATTACCTTTTATTTTCTCATTGATTTTTGAGAGAGAGAGAGAGAGAGAGAGAGAGAGAGAGAGAGAGAGAGAGAGAGAGAGAGAGAGAGAGAGAGAGAGAATATCATCCATGTGAGAGAAAAACATCCATCATCCTCCTTCCATATGCACCCAGACCAGAGATTGAACCCACAACCTAAGTATGTCCCCTGACTGGGACTCAAACCTGAAACCTTTTGGTGTACAGGATATCACTCCAACCAACTGAGCTACACTGGCCAGGGCCTTACTGATTTTTCTTGAAATTAGCAGAAATGTCCTACTAGAATCTTTTGTAATCATTTAAAATATTTTGTCATTTTCTATGTCCAAAAAAAGAGACTTATTAAGTAGCCTAAAAACTAAAGAAGAAAACAGTCTTTGAGAACAAAATTTTGTTTAACAGATGAATGGACAATGATGTTTCTGCCTGGACTTTATTTGAAACCTAATTGATGTCAACAGAATGAGCCCCTCTTCATGCTCACTCCGAAGTGCAATTTCAAAGCACCAGTACCCCATGCAATTTGGGGCCAAATTTAATTCCATCTATCCAATAAATGCCTGTCGACAATGACTGGATGGGCAGATGTTAGCTCTTTTTCCTGAACTCTAGTTTCCCCTCCTTCATCCCAATCTCAGAGCAAGAAAGAAATATGAAGCTTTTCCTTTAGCTTCCAATCAATGTTTTAGCCCGTTATTGGAAGAAAGTTATAATACAATCAATATTTACTAGAGCAACCATAAGTTTCAAAACTTGCTACTGAGGCATTTGTTTTCTGCTATGGGTTTTCCACCAAAGGGTGGTGCACCTTTCTTGTTACAAAATCAAGCTATTGATGGGCAAATGAATGAATCTGAGCAGTATAAAGTGGGGCAAATTCTACCACTGCTGCTGATAGCACTGTGCCATGTTATTATTGTAGCACATAGTATGTCTTCAGCTTCATGTAACAATCAAGAGCACCCTTTCCAGAATTCCAAGTAACCTCTGTGGGTGCTGTTCACCTGAAATTAATACCAGAAAAGTGTTGAATGGAAAAAAGAAAAAAGTAGCTTCTTTGAGAGGATTTTGGGGAAAAATTAGATATGATTTAGGGCCAGCTGAGGGCTTTCTGAAAAACTGATTGAAATATTTCATTTTTACTTCCTTTTCATCACTGCCCCTGTCCCTGAAGTAATCACAGCTAGCCATAAAAGATAAAGTATTAGTTTTCCTGACTTACTTAACATTGGAATTAATGTCTTTTCTTATTATGCAGGAAATACATGTTGTCTAAAGGGCACTTAATAAGGAATCACACTCTCCAGGGCTATGGTTTGTAAACCTAGTTCCAATGAGACCAAGCAAAGAAAGATAAAGTAAGTAAACAAAAATTTGTTAATAACTAAATCTAAGCCCAGAAAATAAAAAGTTATATACTAAAACATGTATTTTTTCTTTAGTTAGGCATTCAGCCTTAGGTTAAAAATTCTGAGATCCTATTATAACACTGTTTCCATATTTAAAATTTAATTTAACCTATTATTTCATTTAAAGCTTGTTTTGGGGGAACATAATCTTCTGTATGAATTTAGTGTACACTTAGAAATATATCAATATTTTCCCACTAGTTCATATTTATTAAGAGAAAATTTACTTAAATTGAATGTTGAATGCAATAGCTAGAAGAAACATCTGAAGTAGCATGCCAAAATTCTGGCATAAAAACCAATAAAAAAAAGTGGCTAAAAATAAATCTGCTTTTGTGTATTAACTTGACCTCTTCATTTCTAACTATAGTCCTGCTTTATTCAAGATGTAATCTTAGGAAATTGAATTTTTATATGGTCCTTAAATTGTTGGAACTCAAATATTTCAGGAAATAGAATATAAAGCACTTTTTTTTCACCC